TTTTACACAAGACATATCTTAATATGAACAAACTAAAGCTTTGTCTGTGCTCTTTCCATTTAAAATTGGAGGCAACCATACACAAGAAATATCTTAATATGAACAAACTAAAGCTTTGTCTGTGCTCTTTCCATTTAAAATTGGAGGCAACCACTGGTTTTAATCATGACCCAAACAAAAATGCAGCATACATGCAGCGTGAGTAGTTTAATCTAAATTAGACTGTATAATTTTTAAAAATCTGAAGTGAAACCCGAATGGTTTGACTTTAGTTTTGTGAAACTATATTTAAAAACATTTCTGAATGAAATCGCAGATGAGCTGAATGAGATGCAGATTCACTCTCTGACAGCAGGTGGTGCTTATGAACCGCAATGATAGTTTCCTGGGTTACTGCTGTAAACAAAGCAGAGCTGTGCTTATGATCACTACTTTAATATGCATTGTTCAGAGGCAAGATTAAAAGAGAATGCCACGTAAACTTCTCAAAAGTGAGTCCGTTCCCCTCAGATCCAATCATATAAACTCCAATTGTATTGCTACCAACTCCCCCCCCACAAGTCTCCACTGATCTGAATCCTCGCATGTTTGAATTGATTTCACCGGCTCTCGGTTAATCGTTACAGCCCTATTTTTCCCAATATAAGATGTATTCAGAATGGTTTACTTTTATTTATTTACTTTATTTTAAGATGGCTTTCTGCAGATGACAATGATCAGGTGTGCATGTGCTGTGATACCACATGTGGCTCCAGCAGGAAAGGGCAAGCACTGTCTGATTCAGGTGAAGGCGTGTTCTAAGATCTTTATGACTTTGCTCTATAGTTAAACCTATGACAATGGTTTATTTTTTATTTATATTTTTTTTCTACTCTCCAAGGCCTGGTTTCAGAAGGGAAGGCAACCATTGGCCCTATTGTAGTCTCTGATTGATGTGGATTGTAAGAAGTGGCCAATAAAGACCTGGAATGGATACTGTGGCATGTCTTCTATTCTTTCTAGAGTGGTTTCTTTACAGAGTGGCATGGTTATTATCTTGCACCTGCATCCCAAAAGTGATTAACTGACACGACTAGTTTCTTTATCCAAGTCAATTTAGGCAGATGCCAACCTAGATCAGATGTGACCTGGCCTTATTTGACATTAATGAGGGGAATGACAAACTGACCAAGACTGCATTTTGAACAATGGGTTCATTTGCAGGAAGGGATTGGGATTATCCCAATTGGCCTAATGATGCTCTAAAAGTGTGAGTAAGTTTTGGGGCATTCAACGAGGTCACAAATTTGAAGCAGTGAAACACTTTAGTTACATGTGCCTTGGAACCTTAAACATGCTATTACATTTAACATTTGTCATTGCACTAAACTTAAGTGACTAAAAGGTTTTTCTCGACCCTATTGGAGAGTAGTAGCATGTGTGGGGAAAGTCATGTTCTTGTGTGTGGGTTATTAATGCTGTCAATCGATTTTAAAAGTAAGCTAATTGCAGTCTTTGAAATGAATCCTGATTTAATCCCACCTAATGTTAACTTTGACATGTATTGTAATTTCAATCTTCAAGTTAATTTAGAAACTGCTGGTATATTTGTTTAATGGCTTTCTTTTTTTTTTTTATTAATGACTGAAGGTGTCACTGATTTCTGTTTCTGATACTGTACATTATTGTTTCTCCTCTATGCCCCGCCTTTCTGAAACGCGTCGATTTTTACAAAGCTCATCGGTCTGAAAAGCAATGTGTGCTCTGATTGGCCAGCTATCCAGTGCGTTGTGATTGGCCGAATACCTCAAGTGTGTGACGAATGTTACGGCCCTTACCATATTGTGATGATGCCCTGTCAGGCCGGAGCGATGATTCAAAAACATGAAAACCCATTATAAACGAGGCATTCGTTGCATCCAGTGGGGACATAATTATGGATTATAATGACTTCTACTGTCTTTTTACGCGCTGCGTTGCATCGCGCAAACATAAAACCATGTCTGCATTTGTGATCGGAGAAATGACAAACAACAAGGATTAAAAGAGAATGCCACGTAAACTTCTCAAAAGTGAGTCCGTTCCCCTCAGATCCAATCATATAAACTCCAATTGTATTGCTACCAACTCCCCCCCCACAAGTCTCCACTGATCTGAATCCTCGCATGTTTGAATTGATTTCACCGGCTCTCGGTTAATCGTTACAGCCCTATTTTTCCCAATATAAGATGTATTCAGAATGGTTTACTTTTATTTACTTTATTTTAAGATGGCTTTCTGCAGATGACAATGATCAGGTGTGCATGTGCTGTGATACCACATGTGGCTCCAGCAGGAAAGGGCAAGCACTGTCTGATTCAGGTGAAGGCGTGTTCTAAGATCTTTATGACTTTGCTCTATAGTTAAACCTATGACAATGGTTTATTTTTTATTTATATTTTTTTTCTACTCTCCAAGGCCTGGTTTCAGAAGGGAAGGCAACCATTGGCCCTATTGTAGTCTCTGATTGATGTGGATTGTAAGAAGTGGCCAATAAAGACCTGGAATGGATACTGTGGCATGTCTTCTATTCTTTCTAGAGTGGTTTCTTTACAGAGTGGCATGGTTATTATCTTGCACCTGCATCCCAAAAGTGATTAACTGACACGACTAGTTTCTTTATCCAAGTCAATTTAGGCAGATGCCAACCTAGATCAGATGTGACCTGGCCTTATTTGACATTAATGAGGGGAATGACAAACTGACCAAGACTGCATTTTGAACAATGGGTTCATTTGCAGGAAGGGATTGGGATTATCCCAATTGGCCTAATGATGCTCTAAAAGTGTGAGTAAGTTTTGGGGCATTCAACGAGGTCACAAATTTGAAGCAGTGAAACACTTTAGTTACATGTGCCTTGGAACCTTAAACATGCTATTACATTTAACATTTGTCATTGCACTAAACTTAAGTGACTAAAAGGTTTTTCTCGACCCTATTGGAGAGTAGTAGCATGTGTGGGGAAAGTCATGTTCTTGTGTGTGGGTTATTAATGCTGTCAATCGATTTTAAAAGTAAGCTAATTGCAGTCTTTGAAATGAATCCTGATTTAATCCCACCTAATGTTAACTTTGACATGTATTGTAATTTCAATCTTCAAGTTAATTTAGAAACTGCTGGTATATTTGTTTAATGGCTTTCTTTTTTTTTTTTATTAATGACTGAAGGTGTCACTGATTTCTGTTTCTGATACTGTACATTATTGTCATTATGCTAATATTTCCACATATTGATGTAGGTATGTGGGGGCGTGTTAGAACGAGCCGTTTTAGGTAGGTGTGGCTGACTCTTAACTTTTATAAAGAATATCTCTTTGGATTTGAGACTTTAGTCTTCGCAACTTTACAGATCTTCTTTATGCACCAAGAGCTTGTAACACTCCAAAGAGAAAGGAAAACTTGAAATCGCATCATATGACCCCTTTTAAATAAATAGGTAGCCTTTTTACCTTAATTTTTGTAGTTTAATAAGTTCCTCAATTCAAGCCTCAAAACTGCTCAAGTTTCCTTTAAAAAACGAGGAAAACACATCTCTTGGTTTTATTAGTAAAAAGTCCTCTATTTTCTATACAACACTGAACCACAATTTCTTTAATGAAATATACACATTATTTTTAATTATCACCTTAATTTTTTTGATGAAAATTACAAGACCCATGATTCATTTTTTACAGTGTATACTTACATGCATGCACAGTTTTAAGGCAGCTTTAATCGACTTTTTGGTAACTTCATGACTTAACTGACGACATAACTACGACATGTTCTTAGTTTCTTTTGTTCTTTAATATGAAAGGCTACAGCATGTGCCGCCACATTTGTGTGTGAAATTGAAGAGCATGTGCTACGAAAAAATTTCATGTACAGTATAACGGCTGACAGAACAGGAAAACATTTGTTTTTACTGACATGGCCCGACAACATCTCATCTGACCGCAGTTCACTCTTGTTCTACTGAAGCTCCTCATCACCTGTACCTTTTCCGCGCTCGTTTGACTAGCGCCTGGTGCTGAGGCGAAGTTGGAGTGCACATAAAATCTCCCATTTGATGTAGTCGTAAAGATGTTCTGCATCTAAATAAACACAATTCTTGTCTAGAAAAAGATACAGAAGTAGCAGTGAGTGGGGTGGCCAACCCTAGCCCCGCCCCTAATTGCTTTAAATATTTTTAATGTGTTAAACTGAAAAAAAAAAAATAATAATAATCGCATGCGTTAAAGCATTAATTTTAACAGCACTTATTCAAATATAACATCCACTCAAATATATCTTCCAGTGAGACGACAGTTCTCTCTGGTGACTTATGCCAGGCTTATTCTGTTCTACAGTTGCTCGCATTTGGTTCTGCCAGTTGACAACTAATGACCCCACTCTAAATTTTATTTCTTTGATAATCAGTTAAATTCAGATACCCAATACAGAAGAAAAGACCTGTCTCTACTTCCATTTCATCACAACTTTAATATTTTTGTCTGACCATATAACATGAACTGAATGAAGTAGATTTTCAACATTCAAGCTGCAACCTTACATTTTATTTTATTTTTTTATTTTATTCCCTGGAAATAGTAGGCCATCCTAGTATCTATGGGATACTCATTTCAACATACAGCACTTCAAATCTTTTTAGAGTGAAGCTTACAATCCCATTGTACTTGTTTCAAGATCTTGGCTGCCAACAGCATGAAACGAACTATTTACGACACATTTAGAAACCAAAAACATATTTTGCATATTGCTTGACTAAAAAGGCATCAAAGAAGACCAGTAGTTATTCTGAAGGTTTCAGATTTTTTTTTGAACAATGAGGCTGGTGGTTTTTAGTTGTGTTGGATTGTTGTTGCTTATTGCAGTTGACGAGTTTGGCACAGTGGTCAAGATTTCAACAAGGCCAGGATCCACTAAGATTCCAACAGCAACAGTTGCCAGTTTTAGCTCCTCAGCAATCTGTTCAAGATCCAAAGGCGTCAACAACTTTTCGGCCTCCAAGACCTGCAATGAGGCCTGCTGGGGTAGATACACAGAAGCTTCAAGAACCTGGAAGTAGTCAGTCCAAACAGCTTATGCAGGCTCCTATGGCACCTTTGACCTGGCATTTTCCAGTAATACCAGAAGAACCCCAACGGCCAGATGTGCCTTTTGAGCAGCGTGAACCTATAGCTCCCCAGAGTGTTGCAGCACAATGTGGGGAGAACTTCGTGCATGTGGAGGTGAAGAAGGACTTCTTTGGTATTGGTCAACTGGTGAATCCTTCATTTCTCACTTTAGGAGGCTGTGCAGCTCATGGCAATGATGACTCTTTGATGCTCAGAATCTTGGCTGCCCACTCATGGTCTCGTAGTAAGGAGAACGTAGGATGGATAGTGCTATTGCTGAAAATAACTGAGAAGAACAAATTATGACTCAGTACATACTGTATGTTTATGTAGGCTATGCACAACAACCACATTTAGAGAATTTTGTTTTTTAATTTTTCAGCTAAAGTCAGTTCATTGATGTTTCAGTTATATCAACATCCAATTCAGTTCTCTTCCAATAGTGTCTGTGCAATCAGTCAAGCGTCCCCAACTAAGCAAGCCAAAGGT